GATCAGCACCACCTAGACACAGTAGTCCCAAGGTAGCTCAGTCACCTGTAAGGAGTGCCATTGGACAGGTGTGTGTCACCTATACAGGTGTTTTTATCAGATTGATAAATTACTGTTTTCAACAATCCATATCAAAACTTTTGAAATATTACATTAGTTCCATGTTTTATTTCTTGTGCATGTGGTATTCATCATAAATACATGAAGAATCTTTTGCATTCAAAACTCAGGTGGTTTCCCAGAGGTTGTTCACAACCCCACCAGGTACACCCCAGTCCAGCGTAGACAGCCTTCCCAGCACCCCTCCTCACCCTGTTCCTGTACATCAGGATCCCAGCAGGCAACTCCCACTGCAGCCACAGGGCATCGCAGTACATGGTATAGAGGGCATTGTGGCTATTTCTCGGTTACTATTAATTATATTTTACAAGATAGATAGATTTAAGTTTACTTTAATAATAAAACAAATTAGTAAAAGAAAGAAGAGGCACAGGATCAAAAATTCCTCATGATGTATGAGTTTAAATTCTGCAAGACAAGAAATTGTTTCTTGTAAAAAGTAGAACAAACTGAAAAGAATAAAATTATATGGACTAAAGAGTATAAATCAAAACTTTTGAACCACAGTGACAGTACATTGGCATCTTGCCATGTAAATTTGGCAGGCTAGACTGTATGAAATTAATGTCAAAGTTGTGGAAGAATCCAGTACATCATTTGTGACCCCTGCCATGTAGATATATTTCTTAACTTTCCTTGTGTCACAATTGATTAGCTATCCCATCCATAGTGCAATTATATAGCCTCTGAAGCCATTGGCATACATGTAAGTCCCTGGCTATCTTAGGCCACAGCAAGGAAATTTTATGGATGGCATCCTCTACAGAGTCCAAATCTTATACGTATATGTCAAAAAGTGAAAAATAAAGAGGACCCCCAAAAGACAATATGCATAAATTTTCAAAATAGAGGCCATACGTTTTGCAACAAGAATTGTAGTGACAAAACAAATCCACCAACTACCAATTTAGTATCACTTCAACAAGTACACTCAAGGCTGAGAGGGGAACAACATTTCTTATTGATTTTTGGCATATCATGAAAATCAGTGGTTGCATAGATGTCATCCATGAAAGTTACTTACTGTGGCCTTATGTGCACCAGAGAGAGAGCACCAGTAGATGTGACCTCTGGTATTTTCTGATTTGACAGCCGATGATCTGGAGTCATCTGACGGGGAGGAATTCAGCGATGACCCACTGTTGATGGCTCTCAGACGACAGAGGGCACAGTATGAGGAGCAGCTCAGGTCTGATATCGTCTTCTGTAGGGATGGGAATCAATCTGGAAGGATGTCAAGGCTGCGAGGAATATATGTTGCTAGTATTCTTAAATATAGCCAATTGTTGACAAGTTATCAAAGAAAACATGACAAAACAATTTTTCTCACATATTAGGGAATTGTTTTTGTATCCTAACTTGTATGTCAAGCGCATTGTATTCAGCCATGATGTACATGCATTCTTAGATTGCTTAGGGGCTACTTGGAGGATTTGCAGAACACTAGTATTGATTCCTTTTGAATCTGCGCGGGACTAGTTGGTACTTAGTCATATGCTAGTATACATTTTTCACTTTCTCCTTTGTGATATTAGCAGCCTCTGTTGGAATTGTTCAGTTTTCCAGAAGTATACATACATATATCTCTAGTTCTGGAGGAAACTGAAAAAAGTTCAAGACTTGACCTCTGCCTGTAGTCATCAGTCCTATAGAGGAGAGAAGATGGGTCGAACCCGAGATATTTTTGCCATCTACATGATTGATGAATAACGTATCCAACTCTTAACCCCCGGAATCCACCCTTACCACACAGCGCACTTTGTCAGCGTAGTTTGGGGGTGAATGAGTGACCCACGCCGCGACCTTCCACTGCATTCCCAGACTTCTTACACTTGTCCCTGTCACCACAGGATTATTGATGAGTTACTGCTGAGAGCTGCTGACTCAGGAGACCAGGAGGGACAACACAGCTAAGGCTCCTCACTGTGGAACAGGCCAGGGGGCAAGAAACTATGCATGGATCATCACAGCAGAGTGACTGAAGAGTTTTGAGAGAATGCTTCATAGACAGAACAATATTTTCACATCTTTTGAGTGTTTTGTTCTCTTTTGAATCATATTCAAATCCAATTTGGGTCCCTTGAGAGTCACTCGGTGATCGCCATCTAGTACTCATAACCTGAGCAACCAAAATTGGATTTGTGTGTTGATCCACTGTGTTATTGGAATTGGAATATAATGCACAATATAAAAGAAAAAGCAACAAGGCATTCAAAGTGTAAAAAGGTTTGTTCTTTATCTGTGAAGTTCGTTAAGCAGCTGCTAGTGGATAGGGGGCGACAGTAACCCTAAGAGCAACATCTTTGTTCAACACAGCTTTACATGAAGATCAGGATGTGTACACGGTCAATTTAGTGCCTTGTTAAAACAAAAAAAAATGAGTCAGAATTGATATGCTTCCAGAGTTCTACACAGTTCAACTCAGGATAAAGATCATACATGCAGACAGAAGATGACAAAAACCATTTCCATGGTAATCAGGAGTTTTGCTTGACAGTTAATTGATTGGAGGCAAACTGCCATGAAGTTTTCATCATGTCTTGTCCTGAGGATAGAAGACCCTGGAAGACATCGGTGATGCAGTACCAATGTCTTTACAGCTGCATGTTGAACAAGATGAAGACACTGCAGGCAAGACATGATGGAAATATCAGTTTGTTATGATCCTGCTGACAGGATGGGTTCATCTTAAGGTCAAGAGCCCTGAAAGCAGAAAGTGTGCGTTGATGATACCTCCTTTTAAAGGTGTAAGATGACTTGAAGATGAAGACACTAACACTTGAGGCAAAACATGGTAATATCTTCATCCATAACATTGTAAGAGACCAAAATAGATAGATTTACTCTGCAAGGTGAGAAAAAAAGTATGCATAAGAATATAGACTCAGCTTTTTTATGTTTAGTTTATGATACATCAACATCCAAATATAGTATTATATAAAGCAAAATAGATGAACTGGATACATTCTTTGAAGAGTCAGGTGCATCAGATAACATCTGCTTTGTTTCATAATTGGTAACTGATGAAAGATGATGGATGCTATCTGAAATGTGTCTTAGTTAAGAGAATTTATCCAGTTGCTGTTATTTTCTATTATGTCTAGGACAGTGTTTACAAATTTAGGATACTTGTTTACAAATATTATTCATATTCAAATATTTCTGCTGACTGACATAATTTCTTCGTGACTCTGTCATCCAAATAAAGGAGAAATATATTTTCAGTGTGATGTTGCATCATGTGACATCAATTGCAAAATGTTTGTCTTCATCCCTGGAATTCATGGCATTTTGTTCAGTGCATTCTCAGTGTACAAATAAATTCATAATACAGTTGAAAATCTGTTCAATTAGTGTTAGAAGTAGTAAGCATCATTATACTAAATATAAATACTGATACATCAATTCAAAGAGGCTTACATGCTTCATTTCTAAATATCAAGCATTGCATTTATTCTATACAAGCACCGATACACAGCTCCTTGTCCCCGACAGAGCAACAAGTAGCAATTATTGAATCATGAAGTGATAGTTAATATATATTTAACTTCAAGGACATTCTTCTGTGTTCAGCAACTAAATATAGACTGCAAGAAGCTACTGTAAGCTCAGATCAGTCATTAATTGGAGACTCCTGCTGCTCTTTTGCAGTTCAGTGAAAGTTGATTAGATCCTGCACATGTAGCTTGTGCATTTCTGTCATGAACGTAACATACACTACATCAATCCTCAGTAACAGACCTAGGCAGATTGAGCGGCCCGCTCTCTTTGATAAATTTTCTTGGCATTCACATTGACTGCAAGACTTGACAGGAATCAAAAGTGCACTGGTCAAGCCAATATAATGGATTTATCTTATGTTAGAACTCCCCCAGGACATAATTTGCCCAATGCTGACTTTGTCAATGTGTTAACCCTTGAACCTGTAACGTTCTGTCATTCCATTAGAGAAGAGGATCGGTCTGTTCCTATCGCAAGGAATGATGACCCCACCGGGGAACGTACACAGGACCTTCCATTGATTCCAGCCCGGGTACTGTATTGATTTCAGGTGGGAGATGTATGTGTGATGGCCTTGGCTTTGTGCGGAGGCCACGCTTGCTGTAATTACAGGAGTCCAGGGAAACTTTTGACTCAGGGGCACTTGGTGCACACATTGATCCGTACTACTTTTCTTTTAGGTGCCAATCTCGTCTGAAAGGAGAAGGTGCTCTTGATTTACAACACCTCGATAAAGAGCTACTCTTGAGGTACTTTTGACGGTGAAGGTCTGGTGGGGGGTTCTTAGATTCGGGTATCTTAATTGGTAAAACTAGGCTGCGAACACCAACACAAGAGGACGTTCCGTTGTGGCGTTTGGTATAAAATCTAGCTTTCGGCTACGCGTTCGATAAGAGGAATTTGTCAGTAACGATTAACGATGAATTCTGAAGATTAAATGACGTGCCATGTAGAATTATTAAAGCCACCGATTACGCTTCACGAATTATTTACAAGTAGCGCTTAATGTGGAATTAGAGCAGGCCAATAGCCCCGCTCACCCGTATATATAGAAAATATATACATAACATATAAATACAAAAACGCTAATATTTGAAGGACATGCAGCCACTTTCACGTCATTGATTGAATTGCTAATTGCGATAGCAGGACCGACATGTTATAGCGGGCCCCTACGCCTCAAGTGAATTGAAAAAGGCTCGCGAACCTTCAATGGTGTATGTGGGAATTGAATATCACGACTGCTACCGTTCGTTTTGCACCCCAAGGATCTTGGTACAAGAGATTTTCTCTGTACTGTACTGATCACAAGTTTGACGACACTCCCTCAGACACCGGGACCTTTGGGGATGAAGGCCGCGGCTAGGGCAGCGAGGCCACGGCAGGCCGTCAGTCACAGCCACTTATTGATTCTGCAGAATATCTACTAAGAGCTACATTTACATGGATGTGAAACTGTCCTCAAGTAAAAATAGTCCACCTGAGAATCAAACAATGTACAAACGGCGCGTGCTGGGTCACTTTCAGGATTAAGCTCCTTGTCACACATTCAAAACCTTCCCCCGTCCACCTTCCAACCACGGTTAGCTGAATCTCGGGAGCAGTCTGACCAGATTTAGGCCACGTCAAGTCGTCAATACGAATCGAATAAAATTAGAGTGAAATTTAACTGCCAACCACGCCCCGACCACTACTGACCCACTCCCAACTACCAGCCAATCCGTCCCCAACAATGGCCCAACCTTCCATCCCTGGTTATTTTGATTTGAAACATTCGGCTGGTAACCCCGGTCGGATGGTTTCATTTTTGACAGCCCGGACACTCCTGTAGTACCGATTTATATTCAATGTCTTGATTTTATGTACGACTCATAAAGGTTTAGGATTCCCTCGGAGGCCAAGTTTATCTGATCTCCAATATCGATGAAACCACCAGGGGGGCACTTTTATATGAAGCGTGTTACAGCGTGGCAGATGATATTAAGGCGCAAACCGCTGCCGTTTATGCAGCCCGTAGACTCTTATGTGTTGGAGCGGCGCACACTTTGCTGATATAGCAAAAAGCATCCGCCTGGAAGATGCCGCCACGCGATGACCCGCCGTATGCAGGGGAGCTAGTGAGAGACAGGTTATACATACAGGGCTGGGCACATCAGCATACCACGGACGCGCAAACACTGGCCGCTCTGCAATTTGCACACTCAGACCGAGTGCTCTTTTACCCACAAGGCACGGCCAAGAGACCACTTCTAGGTTACTGGAGACCACTTCTAGGCACTAAACTAAGTATAGAGCATCGAGGCATGTCTGGCCGTGTCAGCTTTTAAGAGTAGACGCCTAAAGTCCAAGTATATAGTCCATTTACATGTACTATGTTGTTATATTTTAGTGTCGCAAGCGGCCGTTGTATAAGCAAAAGTCCGTGCATTGCTCATTTTGTTTAAAACTGTTGCTACATTTATTGTTGGTAGCGCCATGCTGGGCGTAATAGTATTTATTTACTTCCGGGACGGAAGTATTGTTATCGGTCGCGTTAATTGAGGGTTTGTGTGTACGTGTGTGTGTGTCGATTCCACACGCTGAGTCATTTGAGATTGGGTTTCACTGTAGTGATGGGGTCGTGAACTCGGTGGTGTAATCACTGGGAGGACGTTACGTCATTCAATCGTATTAGTTGTAATTTGTATGATGTAATTAAATCGGATATTTCCCTCTGATCATACAGAACACGTACAATTCCAAAACATTATAAACTGATACCCAAAACAGTCCCATATTCTGAAATCTCTGATCTCTTGCTATATTTGTGGTGCAAGAGTGGTCTCTCACTACTGTACATAGTGTAGTTCATGACTTTACTCAGCCCAATCAAGCTTTGCACGATCCGATCCGCGGATACGATCTCCAGGCGCATGAAACGAGATGCCGTTGGATTTAAGCGGTGCCACTTTTATCGTATTTTCGTTTTATCAGCTTGGAGCCGCAAATTTAATGATGAGGTGAGGTCAGCAGAGGTCAAATCGCACCATTTCGGTAGGTAGGCCGTTTTACTAATGGAGGTTAGTTAGCTAACGGAACGGTATGTATCCTTGGTGCACAATTCAATACGTCTGGAGCGAAAGGTTAACACTTTACATGCAGCCCGAGTTTACGGTCGGCCAGGGGTATGAGCACATTTCAAACATGCAAAAATCAATTATCACAAGCAATCCACGGCCACGTCTCATGTTTTGTCATTAAAAGAATCAAAATAGGTTGCATCAATTTCATAAATTCCATAGATTAGCTTCTGGTACTCGTTTGACATCGCGATTGGCCGTTAAAGTGTATCAAGCAAGACAATAGAATAAACTTCTGAACAGAAGGAAAAAGAAGATTATATAGAAGTAAACACGTATAATACATGGCTTCTTCCCCCACATAATTCTGCTTGTTATCCGTGCCTTATTTTCAAAGCACGCGGACGACAGTGAATCGAAACTATAACTGATATCATACCTCGCTTTCTTATCTTTATCGTCCACAGTCATGTAGGATTTGAAATTCTGAATAGATTTATAGAAAACACTGTGGTACAGGAGCTCCCCGACACTGACTAGATGCTTATCTCTCAAAGTTTATTGCAAGCTGTTGCCCAACGACAAATTGCCAGTACTTACGTAACATATACGTACGTGTAAAAATTATAGTTGTAATTTCCGTGCTGAGTTGCCCAACCCTTACCTACAAACCTTGATGAAATATTAGCACTTTGTGAATGCCAAAGGTTTCCAAACACTCCCCTTGTCTATGGAGAGCCATTGAATACAGCCCCGCATGTAATTTGGTCAGTTAGACCATTTTAACGGAAACGGTCTGGCGAAATTTATATGAGGGACTTCAGGACATTGAGCGCAGGTTTGCCACGACACTGACTCCAGGGATTTTCTTGATACGTTGCATATCTCTTCCAAGTAGGTCATTTAGTGGTGAAGGAGTGGGGCGGTGTGATAGCGACTTCTTGTGCCATAAGTCTTAAGTGCCGTGGCACCATAGGACCAGGGCTCAAAATACTGGGTGCATATATACTTTTGAGCACCCAAAATTGGAGCTGTGCGTCTGTATCTTATAGATATAGATATCTGTGCTGTGTTGGGCAAAGCGTGTTGGGCAGTGCGTTTTGAGCAATGCACGTATCTTGACTTTTAAGTCTCCGAAAAAAATCCTTGAATGTTTACAAATTTGAAATTATGTGTAATTTTTTTGCGAAGTGATCGAGATCGGTAAGTCTAGTAATGACTGCCTATAAACTAATGCCAGTAGTAAAGATTACCAGATCTACCTGGCATCTGTAGTCATTGGTAAATCCATCCTTTCGTCCAGTGTGAATTTCAAGCCCTGTAAACGGCCAACAAACGGAACCTACCACCGGATGACGTATTTCAGGGACTAGAGTAGACGGCCGCCGGTGAACAGAAGTTAGTCACCACAAGGACCATTGCAGGGATTTTCTTGTCACATTGAATTTCTCCCTGGACTAGGTAATTTGGACGGCTAGGAGTGGGGAGGTGTGATAGCGGATTACTTACCGTCCGTCTTTTAATGCACTTTAGCCATAGGAGGCGATTCCATAGAAATCCAACCTCCTGCCGTATTACAACAGGATCTGTCATGCGGGGAAATTACACAACAGACTGGAACGGTCCTATTATTCTGGTACCCTGGCACTAAAACGCCACAGGCGAGGGCATTACGCTGGCAGTATGTCTAGTTTTACTGTAGGACATATGTGTATGTAATATTTCCACTTCAATGGTCTTCCATACACACAGGCAATCAGTCTCTGGCG